GGAGATGTGGCTTACCTAAGCTGTGTGTGTCTATTGAGTACACATGCACGGGTGCCTCCTTAGCACCCAGCTTGCTATAGGAGGCACCCAGAGAAGGGAGAAGCTGACAGTGCTGGCATGGGACTTGCAGAAGTGGAGGAAAGTGACCATTATGTGCAATATCATTGCACAGAGCAGGTAGGTATTACCTCTTTTTGTTAATTAAATAATGGTGCAATTTTGATTATTCTGTCAATTTCTTGATCTCATTGCAGGACTAAAGGAAATCAACACTTTGTTGGTTAATTTACTAAATCTGAAGAGTGCAAAATTTGGTGCAGCTGTGCATAGAACCCAATCAGCTTAGATTTTTATTGTCAAAGCTTAATTGAACACGCTGAAGTTAGAAGCTGATTGGCTACTATGCACAGCAGCAGCTGATTTTGCACTCTCCAGATTTAGTAAATCAACCTCTTTGATTCTCAATTGCTGTATGTCTATTTCAAATGTGTGACTCAAAAGCAGTGATGCCAGATGCAGTCAGGCAACCAGCATTTTAGGAAGTGGTTAACAATGGCAGCTACTACTACCATAGAAAGTGTGCTGCGTTAGCTTCAACAGTAGCAACGACCTGTGCAGAAAGTACACCTCAAGGAAACACAGGAAAAATGCATGCAGAGACCAGTAAGATTATTCATTTATTGTACATCTTTCTCAAAAATCACAAACAACATTGTCCAGGCATGTTGTATATATTTTTTAAATATATATGTATTTTATGCATTTTTTCTAAACAGAAAGGTGCACATTGTTACTGAACATTCCATGTTAGTAAGCTTGCATCTATCTTTCTGCATGGTAATCTACAGATGAGAATAAATTCACAGCTTGAAGAGTGTAGTAACTACAAAACCACAAAGGTTTAGTGCTCTAAATAACAAATATATATGTATATATATATTTTTTACTTACTACATGGAATACTGCACCCATAACAGCTTATGTTTACTGAATGCAAAACACCTATCATGGTGGCATGTTTTGGTGAAAATTTGTATCCATTTAGCAACAAATGACACACAGATTTCATGGTTTTTAGACAGTTAAGCTATTCACTGTTGCAAAAGCTTATCTACCTAGATGTCCAAGTAGTCTGGAATTAATATTAAAATATTTTGAAACAGACTAAAACATAACTTAAAGTATGGAAGCCAACAGCTACCTGTACCTTTCACTATACATCTTTTCTATAAGAAAATCCAGTACCAGATTAGCCTGATCCCACACATACAGAGCTTTATAACAGTCAAAAAAGCATTGCTTTGCTGCTACTAATCAGAAATCAGCTTTTATCAGTTTAACAAAATTATCATAGAATTAAACCTTGAAACATGCATCTAATTACCAGAAGATACTGGTTGTAATATTTTATTTTAAAGTTTTTCCTGTAGTTCGCTTTGGGGAGGCTTTTAAATGGGTCTGAAGTCTGCAGGTGAAATTGTTAAAAAAGTATTACTACATAGGGTGTTGTGGGCACTCACATTTACACAAAACCACATCACCACCACCACCATCACCACCACCCTGTGCTTCAACTAGATTCATCTTCCTGTATGAGATGCCAGCCTATTGATTCCACAAACATGGCAGTCATGGAGCCATGCAGATGAATCCTCCCTTTCTTGCATGTTTCAATGTTGTTAAGCCAGCCACAGTTCCATACACACACAAAACTTACCCTGGCTACATGTCAAGGTCACTGAAGCAAAATTCTGTAGATACTTTGGCTGTCTAATAATCAGACCGGTCACCTAAATACAGATAGTTTATACTTTAAGACTGAAACCTCAGTTTTGTGAGATAAAGAGTTACTAGCCCGGCAGTTCTACCTACACAGACACATCATAATCCTAACGTCCTTTGCCTGGATTAAGATAGTCACATGGTACCCCATGTGATTGCCCTCCTTTGCTGTAGAAAAATAATTTTTGGACAAAATAAATTGGAAGCACTATTAGGATAGTTAGCTGGGTGACTAATTAAAAAATGCATACTTTATCAAACACTTTAGGTCCACGTTTAAAAAAGAGAACAAGGTCTGAAGGAACAATGACAACAGACATTGCAGGCTTTCTTCACTATACTACCAATGAGTAGAGAAAGATTTACAAAGTATTTGTCAACTGCTCATTTGGTTCCCAACACTCTTTAAGGTTATGGCACTTGTGTGTATTTGGCAGGTATTATGAACACATACCGGCTTACTGTCATGCAAGTATGTACGAGGTCTAATACTATTTCTGCCTTCTCTGATACAGCTGGATTTAGGGTATCTTCTCTGTAGCTAATTCCAACACCCAAAGTCTACTAGGACACCTCTTGCAGTTCCTAGTAGCACTGGGAGCACCATTACCAATTTTAAATGGACAAATCCTCACGCCTAGTTAACAATGAATACTGTTCACTTAAGAATGGTTGCTTGGAAAAGGTTACTTCTTGCGTTCTGCTGCAACCATAGATGGTGCTAGGAGCCACCAAAAATTAGCGAGGATCCACTGACACTTCTGGAACTGCTGGGAACCAAATCAAGGGCTGAAAGAGAAAGATACAGTAAATAAGATAATAGTTTCAGAGTTCAGTGGCCCCTCAGTGTTACAAAGTCCTAGCTTATCCTTTCATTTATAGATATAGTAGCATAAAAAAAACCCCCACAAATCCACTTATTAAGGTCTGTTGAGATGCCTCTACTCTTAGGCCTCGTTTACACCATATGTGCCAAAAAACTGATGGAAACTGACGCAGATTTCACTTTCAGAGACATCAGTTTTCATGCGTGCTGTAATTAATTTTATACATGTTGCCGATTCCTGAGCAAAAAATCTGCAGGTGATACTAGTGTTGTGGTATGAACAGGGCACTTAGAAAACAAATGATTTTGTTGTGCTCTTGCAGAACGCGTGCAGAAAAACTGATGTCTGCACCATGGTGTGAATGAGCCCTTAGATTGTAAGACAGCCAGAAGCTTTGTGTCAGTCTAGAGGATCCACTTACATCTTTGACAGTTAAACTGTTAGAAGCTGATCTGTGATAGTATATTAGGGGCTGCTCTACCCTACTGCACCATGTTATCAAAGGAAAAATAAATAATGGGGGGTAATGTATTAAGTATTCATGACCCCAAGAAGTGCTATTGTTCACTTTCTTGCCAAAATAAATATAACCTTCAATTTTTTTCTTGATGGTAAAGCATTTTTGGTTTATCTTTAAATTACAGCAAAAATTCTACTTTTCAAGGACTTCAGGAATATTTAAAAAGAATAGCATAACATTCTTTCTTTTCCAGTTGGTTGGATCCCTGGATTTGGAGGAGGGATCCAGCCTCCATCCATGGTCCTGCAACCTCTACATGCCTTAGAGGAAAGCACTTAAGGTCTCCTTTAAACAGTCTGCACAGGAAACTAATATATGATAAAGTTCATATTTAAAACTAACCTTTGTGGCCTGTTCCAAAAGGTTAATATCAATCATAAAAAAGGTGTACTTTAAAACAAGTTAACCTGATATGAAAATATTTTATAACACACAAATACAAGTCTTTAGCATACATTCTATTAATGAGAAAGAATTGTTAAAACTTAAAATTGTACAGTAGGATTGCTGTTATCAAAAATAACCATCTGCATTTAATGCATTTGAGAAAATATTCAAATATTTTATTGGCAATTATGCCTCCCTATGGTCCTGGTATACCTTAAACTGACTCTGTCAAAGCTGCTAATGGGGTGAAGTGTAAACCAGAGGTGTCTGCACACATCTTCAGTATCTACCATTCTTTCCCTTCCACCCAAATGCTGAGACATTGTATATCAGAGCTTTGCCTTATAAAAACAGCCCAGCATACGGGCACAATGGGAAGACTAAAAAGCTGTTACAGGTATGTGTACCTCTAGGTGTCTACACTTTATAATGGTCAGCAGCTTCTTTGGTTCAAGTGACAGTGTCATTTTAATGACTAGATTTTTGTCAATAGAGCCATATCAGTACAGGTATGTATATTTGTACTCATTATTTATTGTCCTTCTACGTAGCACCAATGTGCCAACAATTTGCTAATGTCAACTGTCAACATAGAAAGTCTCTGGAGATCTTGTTTTTATGGGTGGATGTGGGTGAAAGTGCGAATGTGCATTATCTCATGGGAGCCTATCAGCATAGTCTCTCTTACTTGGTTAGCCTGGGTCTTTCCATGCTATGAATACTACTTTCTGAGAGATCTCGCAACAAATTACAGTTCTCTCTCAAAATAGCCACCTAAGCCCAAAGAGGACACATTTGGTCTGCTGTATAAAACTCCATGACCTGTACATACTTGGTAGTAGACACTATAGTGAATGAGAATATTTTTGTTTTTGTTATAGTTGCTGGTCTGAGAAGGAACTTTATAATTAAACTGTACAATAGAAGTGTCTTCAATCCTCATATACATGACAAGCTATGCCCCAAAACACCCAGATTCTGTTTGTGTGGCACCAGTGGTATGTATGTGGAGTTCTATTGTCTGCAATTGGCCTGTTATGAGCCACATTTTTCTAATTTTCTGGTGGGGGCTATCTGGGGGACACAAGAAGTAATCGAAAAAGTTCCATTTGCCATTGTTTACAGAAAAGTGAAACATAATTTTGGCCGGACCTGGTCTTTAATATGTGGTTCTAGCTGGTATTATTACTAGAAGAGCAGTGTGGGAATCAGAACAGTCTAGTTGTGCAAGCAGTCTAACACATATATGCAGGCACATCATAGAATTTAAGAACACCATTTGGCTGCACGCTACACACTACGGTGTTCCAAGTTCACCGTTTGGCTACACAGTAAACTATATCTGTCAACAACACCAAAGGAACGTACCTGCATAAGGCTTTCTTGGTTGACAAACAAAGATCAAAGTCTACAGACTAAGCAACAAAGACAATGCTAAACAAAGTCACTAGAAAACTAATGTAATTCTATGACAAATTGCTCTTTTATTGCAGGTGCCCTCCTTCTCTTTGAATTCGTAGGCGCTCTTTCTCGACCTGCAGACGCTCCTTCTCTATATGAAGCTTCTCAGACTCAAATTTTAAGAGCTGAAGCCTCTCCTTCTCTAGTTGCAGGTGCTCCCTTTCCAGTTTTAATTTTTCTGCTTCTATGTCCAAGGGCTGCAAAACTGTTTTTTCTGCTGGTGCAAAATCATTCTCCATGTTGGCTTTTTCAGCGTGCATGACTTGGAGCCTCAGCTTTTCTCGTTCAATTTGCAGACGCTCTTTTTCAACTTGTAGTCTCTCATGCTCCATGTCTAAGTGTCGCAAACGCTCTCTTTCAATTTGAAGTCTTTCTTTTTCCACTTGGAGCCTTTCAGCTTCGATGCTTAATCGTTGTCTTTCCAACTCCAGCTTCTGCTTCTCTAGTGTTATGAGCAGGTGGGAATCCTTGTATGGGATTCTGGCTATAGAACTCAGGGTGCCAAACTCCTCAATTCTGGGAAATTCCTCAGGAAGATCGTTTTCTTCTCTAGAGTCAGGTAAGACCGCAGACAACATTTCATCCTCTTCCATCTCAAACTATATGTGAAACAAAGAAAATATTTTATACAGAAAGGTGAAAATGTAATAAAAAACATAGTATCCAAGTTTCATTATGATAGGCCTGCAGTATGAACACAAAATGTATTGAGAAATATCCTTATCCTTTAATATTTGTGTGCCTGGTTTGCAATTTGCTTATGGATGTATTCTTAAAGTATAACTAAAGGCAATCCTTTTTTTTTTAGTTTTGGATAGATTGGAGAGGGATTAGAATACCTGTCAATTTTTATTGCTGTCTGTACCCCCGTTAAGGAGATTCACCCTCTCTGTTAGTCCTGTTTATCATTATCATTGACTGTGAAAGTAAAAGAAAATCCCAAATTTTGGGTTGTCCCCAGAAAATTTAGGGGAAATCTTCCAATGGGGACACTAGTTGTGGTGCCCTGGGGGTCTCCAAGGAATTCCCTTAATTTGCAGGGATTTGCTCTTACTTCCTGTTTGGCTATGGACAGAAATTGAAGGGAACATCACTGCAATGGGATGCAGACGGCAAAAATAAATCTGACGGGTTATAACACTCCCTTACTCTATCCAAAATGAAAAAATAAAGTTTTGCCTATAGTTCTACTTTAAAGTTAACACTGATCTCCAGCCTTACCTTCAGTCTTGCACAGTTGTACAGGGTCCTCTCCTGTACTAAGATTGCTTACTCAGAATTCACTGAAGATTGTGAGTTCTCCAACTGTTTATTAGAAGCCCCAGCAAGTCAGATATAGCCTGCCTCATTTCCTGGCTGGAGGATATCTAGCATCATCTAACCATTTCTTCCACAGTCTTAAAGTGGCCATACGCTAGAAGAATTTGGTTAAACAACTTTCATTTCAGGTCATGTTTATTTGATTTTTGAATCCATAGTGGAGTCAAATGGACGTTCATTTTCGACTGCAGTGATGAGAAAATTAGAAGGAACAGAACGGCAAAATTTTCCTAAATTAATTTCTAACAGTGAAGACAAGTAAAGACATTGTGATGTTTGCGTAATTCCTCCAAAGAGCCAGCTCACTTCTTGCATCAGGGCCAAAGGCTTGTACTGTGGCAGGGTGCCATGGTGGCTTTCGGAAAAGTGTGTATAGCAACCTGCTGGCCCCTCCAACCAGCTGCCTGCATTGCACTGAGAAGCACAGAGGCCCAGTGATAATATCAATGAGTCTAAAATAAGGTATGTAATGAAAATGGAAAGGTTTCATTTAAAAATGAAATGTAATCAGCGCATTGGTGAGAGTGGGACTAGGGAAGGTAAAATAAAATATAAGCAGATTAAACTTCAGAACACTGTCAGATAAGAAAATTCAAGCAGGATATGTGTTTATCACATTTGTATTCCAAGGAACCTGTACTGAGGAAGTATGAAGGGTGCCATTTATAATTTCTTCTTGGAGTCATCTAAAGGCTTTATTACTTTCTCACTCACTGACCAGATTCAAAACTGGCTTAAAGATTAAATTCAGCAAGTGATTTAAACATAAAGTGTATCCAAAAAAAACAAAGTTTCTCTTTCATACAAGCTAACTGCTGCGTCTACCCCTCTCCTGATATTTCAGTGCAGCAGAGACAAAGTTGTTAGCCAACTACAGGATTTCACTACCACTACCACTATCAGGCAGGATGTAAAGTTAGGGAATATTGTAACTAGGCACTACAGTATTCTTTGACTACGCAATCATTTGCACAAATAGGTTTAAAAAAAATAATTTTACTGAATGAAAGAAATAAAAAAGTTTTCAGAAACAAAAAAGTAATAGTGACCTGGAAATCCCAGAATAATACCATTGAAACATTTTGGGGCTTATTTACTAAAACTGCATAGTGTAAAATTTGGTGCAGCTCAGCACCAAAACCAATCAGCTTCCAGGTGTTATTGTCAAAGCTCAATTGAACAAGCTGAAGTTAGAAGCTTATTGGCTACCACGCACAGCTGCACCAGATTCTGAGTGCTTCAGTTCTAGTAAATCTTCCACTTTGTGTACAATCAGGATAATATAGCTCAAAAGAGCAGGGCCCTCAATCCCCTCATGTTTTGCATTGTATTGGTATTGTTCTGTCACATGTTCTGTCCCCCTTTGTAATGTACAGCGCTGAGTGAACTATTGTCGCTTTATAAATACTGTATAATAATAATAATATCACTTAAAAAACAGGCTTACAAGTGGAGCCAGTTTACACTACAGTGGAACACATTTAGGTTGCATTGTCCTGTGAATAACATTAGCTCTCAAAAATAGCATTCATATTTTAGTTTATTATATATATATATATATATATATATATATATATATATATATATATATTTGTATTTATTTTATAATAAAATTCAAATAAAGAACTGAATAGAAAAATATCGTTATAAAAAAATTTAAAACTGAGTTGAAGAATGCAAATTCACAGGTCATAGTTGAAAAAAAAAAGAAATAAGTGATCTTAAATATAGCACTTTAACTGTAAAATTATTATACAGTATTGATATTAGCAACTACAATTAACATTAGTGCCTAAATGTAAAAACAATACCTTGCAGTAAGCAAGTGCAGTTGGCATAGCCAAATAATTCACCATGAACAGTGCTTCAGATGCTACTGAACTACCAACATTGAGAAGGGCGAAAATGAAAATGTTTTGCAAACTGATTTTTTTTAACTACTTGAGTACTAGTCTGTATATACCCCTTCATTACCAGCCCTTGTTTCATTTTTCAGTGCTGTGATAGTTTAATTAACCACTGTTCTCTTTTCCTTTTTTTCTATTCCTATTTTTTATTCCCTCCTATTCTTTCTGTACTGAAATGTATTGTAATTGTACTGTCTCCCTTATATTGTAAAGCGCTGCGCAAACTGTTGGCGCTATATAAATCCTGTATAATAATAATAATATAAAGGAAAAAATATTTTCAGTAAAAAAATCCAGATTTTTTGACGGTGTATCACATTTCTTGACGCCCAAGAGTGCCAGGAAAAAAATTCCAGTTTAGGTAGCAGAGCATATATAGTGCAGCAGTCACGTACAATGGTCAGGACTATGTAATGCACAGAAGAACTTACATATTTCGGTGGTCATGGATTAATCCCCCTTAAATGATTGGTGATCAGTGATTAGTTCCCCATAACTGTTGGTGATCAGTGATGTTTTTCTCCAAAACACTGGTGGTCAATGTGCCCTCTTTACAGGTAATATGCCCTATGTACCTCTTTGCTGCTAAGTGTACCCCCTTGTTGCTCAATGTGCCCCTCTTTTGTTGGTGTTTGGTGGGAGCAGTGTTACTTACATTAAGGTTCCACAAGGAAGCAAAAAATGGCAACGGAGAAGTGAAGGGATCTCAAATGTAAATACTGGCACTGGCCGCCTGTGTGTGTTTTCTGCAGCTCCATTTAAAAAATTGCCCTCCAGAAACGTTAGCCCACTTGTTTTAACTATTTGGCAGTACTGAGGTGGTTAAGCCAGTTTATGTACTCTTTAATAATCAGCTTTCAGCTGTGTAGCCCTTGATGTTTCCCTAAGGTATTCAAAACCTTCTGTGTCTAGATCCTCTTCCTTGCCATTTGGTAGATGACATTTAGCACAGCGTTGGGGTTATGATAGAGCCTTACTCCTGACCTCAAACAGTAGGGTATAAATTAAGAGCGGAACACATAGCAATTGGCAAAGGTCTCTCATTATTGTCCAGCCACATTGCACTTGTTAACTTTAGGTCTGGCTTGCAGTTTACAACTCGGTTTGTATTCTAGTATCTGCCTCTCATCTCATTTTTAGAATTCACAGCTTCTGGTTGCCTCCAATCACAAATCAAGACTGTTTTTAGTTTATGCTTTCTGCCTGCTCTGACCTTCTACTTGTTCTTCGACTATGCTTATTTGAAGACAGAATACCAAACAGTAGAAAAGGCTGTGCCTCACTGTCAGCTTTTTTCTACTTCTAGGTAACAAAGAGGATCCAACTTATTCTGTGATAGTTTGATAACTGGCAACCAGTTTACTAGGACCCTGAAGCCTCTAACTTATCTCAACATGCTAGAGGTTAACCAGAGTGGCATTTTTCTGGGACATGGGGTTCTGTATGCCTGCCTAGGTCAGCTTTGGTCTATACAAGGAATGATTACATAATTAACTTCAACTGCTTTGGTGGCTCCTGTTTCATCTCATATAACTGCTCTGTTTTACAAAACCCACCAACTTTTACACATTATAGAAAGTCTTAAAGCCTGTATTGTAAAGATTACAATACATATTGATAGGAGTAAGAAGTACATTTGGACTTGTGTTAAACTGAACAAATACATGGTGAAATACCACATACTTTCCAATTTAGATATGCATTAATAAAAGTCAAAATTAAATTAAAACCATTTAACATCGTCTAAATAGAAAAAACTGTAAGGACATCCAATGACCAAACATCCATGGTATTTACATCTCTGGCATTCAATATCTGATCTTCATCTGGTTTGTTTTTGTATATGGGGCCAGTAGAAGCTTATTAGGGATAATTCAACAAATGATGAGCTGCATAGAAGTGTTTGCCCCGTCTGATACTGTGCATTAATAATAGTTGCATTCCTCTATAGAGCTAAAAAGGGTCTATCATTCCTATGGGAACAAGCACCAATATGTACCCGGTGAACTGCACCTCTAGGACATAGCTTATGGATCATCTGAAGCCCTGAAGTCAGCCGCCAATATTTCAGTAAAAAATGCAAGTGACCCTACGTAGATCCATTAACAGAGGTATGTTATTCCTCAAGTGTGCTACTTTAGGTGCCGAAAGCATATCGAGATGTCATTCTGAAAAATATAGTTACTTATTTTTCACTTCAGTAGACCCAGGTCACAGACGCAGAATGGGTATGCAGATCAGCAAAGTCAGAATGAAGTCAGAACTCATCTTCAAACCTATTCTGGGTCAGTGGCTTAAAAGATAATGAAGCCACTGAATCTGCATTACAGCCACTTGGCATTCTCAGGAGGAGATCCAACCTCCATACTTTCTCAGTACAAGTTTCCTTCAATTTTCTCTGCAGTTTTTATCAATTCTGTTGCTGGAAATTTGTCAAAAAAAAACAACAAACAAATTCCCCCAACCACATATGCAAGGTGGATGGAGGAAGCCTCCCCCCTGCTGTGGCATTGGTATTTTAGCAGTGAGGCTCCTCTACTGTCCGAATACACTGCTCAGCGGCTGCAACCGCTGATCAACAACAGTTTTCCAACAGTCCCGTTCAACAGAAGTCGATCTAATGATAAACTTTGGTTGACTGGGAATGGCCATAGATGGATCAAAATTCGGCCAGTCCCTGCTGACACTGACAAATTTTAATCCATCTATGACAAGCTTAAGTCACCTTTCTTTCTGGGCTGCTGATCAGAAAAATAAGGAAGGTGGTACTTAAACTGGACAATCCCTGTGCCCTCCCTCCTACAAGCATCTTCACAGAGTTAGGCTGATAACACTGTGCAAAACAACAGAGCCATGTTACTCCTACCATTTAAAGTCTGAACAGGGAATAACAAGAAGCTGATATAAAGACAGATTCAAGTATTAAACCTCATGCACACAGGACGTTTTTACAGCCATTTTTAGGGGCGTCAGGCGTTTTTATTTCCCTGGTTCCAATCGCCCCTCCATGTTAGCCTATGTATCCATGTATACATAGACTTGTAGACTTTAGCAGGACTTTTAGAGACAGGGAAAAAAACCCAGGACAGTGAGTCAAGGAGCAGCAGCGTTTTGGCAGAAAAAACACATGATACATGTAAATGGCTCTAAATGCATGTTAACACTAGATGTGTTTAGCACTTGAGTGTCAATTCACTTCAATGATCAGAAAAAAATAATTATTATTCTGGCCAATTAAATGAATTAATGCCCAAGCGCTTGATGCCTGTAAACACGCCTAAACACTTGTAAAAGCGTTAGACACTTTTACAAGCTTTAGGTGTTTCTGCCAAAATGCTCCTGCCAAGAGGAAAAACATTTTCTAAACGTCCTGTGTGCATGAGGCCTTAATATTAGCTGTAGTTCTGCTTTAAGTACTACAATACATGTTTCTACATTCACCTCCATGAGAGGATTGTTCATACAGTCTGTGCACCAGAAACCAGGATTTGTTGTTCTTGTATAGAATTACTAACAAATTACTTGACAGATTCACAGTAGTACTCCAAGGTAGTCTTGCTTGATCCATGAAGTTGGCTATTAGGTTGGTATGCAAAGCTCATATCATTACCATATTTATACCATAGGATAGTAGAGGAGGAGAGGATTGTTCTCCACATTATAATCAACACCTAGTGATGCACCTGAAAAGAGAAGTGATGTTCCTGCTTTGTCAATAAAAATAATTCAGAAATCAATAACACAACGATTTAATAAATTTGGAATTAGTAAATCTTTCTTTTGCACACGGCTGTTTTTTTTTTTCCCCCAAATTCTTTTTTTTGCTGTTATGTTTCAAAAGTCTAATACTGAATGAGGTACAGAAAGAATATTTATGTCTAAGCAATAGGACACTCTCTGTAGCCATGGCCACTGTTGAAGAGGGAACTCAAAGCAAGAATGACAGACTAAAATATACTTTTAAGCTGTCATTTGAAAAGTTTTTGCTACCAACGCACAACCCCAAATTCTGTGACTGCATTTAAGAGCAATGACCACTTTTCATATAATTGTTAACTATTATGGACAAGAATAAGGAAAGAGAGAGATCAGCCATAAAAGTTTAGACTATAATAGACCCTAGCTATAATTTTTTGCGATATACACTAGGAAAATAGAAACTGCACAACAGTAGATGTATGTTTGTTCAAAGCTCTGAGGCAGTGCTGGTTGTTGATGCTCAGGATCTTAAGTACCCTGGAATCTAAGGCAGTTGTTTACTTCTTGACAGACAAATGGGTAACAGTTGTAGTACTTACAAACCAAAATTTCATAAAAAATGCACCTTTGCCTGGCCTGATCGTTCTTAGCTAAGCCGTAGCAGAGCTCATTGATCTCTCTAACATTAAGGGTCACATACCTGCTCATCACTAGGCGTCTGATTATACGCAATTCTATTTTGACGGGAGTTGAACTGGATTCCCAAGCAAGGATGTGACATTCTCTTTTTCCAGCTAGTACCCTGTAATGCCAGAAGAGGTCAATGTAGTTTTCCGGTCGTACACAGAAGGTCTACAGAAGTGTTAGGACTAGAGCTTGGATATTTCACTGGTGATTCCAGGCCAGTCATGGATAATTATGTTACACAAAGATCTAGCTGTTAGCAAAAAAGGGTCTATCAGAGTTATTAGTAGACACAACACAAAGAAATTAGAAAAGATAAAAGGTATAGAGACAGAAAAGAAAAACTGAAAGTAGATATTCTTACTTCGAAATTTTGATGTTCTTCCTCTTCGACCTTGATTTCAGCCGTTGAATCACTCGCATCTCGGACATCCGATACATTTTTCCACTCTAAACTGGACTCACTGATTAACACACTAGGTTTGTCATCGGTGTCATCAATGATGGAATCTAGGTCAGATAATGGAAGGTGCATTCCAGAGCCTCCAAGTTTCACATCTGAATTTAGGCTCTTTCTTTTTATAAGGGACCTCCAATCTAGATATCTTCTTTTGACCTCCGTTCCAGTTCTCTGCTCCCCCTCGCCCAGTGCATTTACACATTCAGCAATTTCTTCCCAGGCCTTACGCTTCATCTCATTAATTGTGGTGTTTAGCTGTTTTGAAAATATGACGTCCCTCCTTTTTTTGATTTCTGTTAGTAAGGTCTGCGTTTCCTGCACGCTAAAGTTACTTTTCCTCTTTCTTTTAAGTTGCTTCATTATGGAGGGCTGTAGCGTCATTTTTTTTTCATCAGTAGGAATATCAGGAGTCCTAGATGGAAAAATCTGTGGCAATTGCTTCTTCCTGCTGAATTTTGCCAGGATTAATGATTATGTATCTGCCTCTCTAGGAGAATTCTAAGGATAGAGAGAGGAACATTTTGCTGAAAAGAAGTTAACAGGCCTTTATTTAATTATACATTATGCAAAAAAATTATTATGGCCAGTTACCTAAAGCAGGCAGTGTATTTAGAGGTGCCTCAAATTGTTGACTTCTTAGGTCAAATAAGAACAACACATAGTTTGGGCAAGTCAAAAAGTGGCCACAGCAAGGGAATGGCCTGCTAAAGAGATTTCAAAATGCTGCATTTTCTGAGCAGGGATGTAATTTAAAATACATTCTGTAGCAGTTAAAATGGATGACGTTCAAGCATGCAAAGATCTAGAGCACCCCAAGAGTCCCAAATACAGAACTTCATCTCTTCAACTCTCATCTAGAAAGGGGCTACTTGCAACAATCTTCTCCTTCCTTCCTGTTATGATAATGTAATGACAGACCAGGTAAGCTTGAGAAGTAAGGTGAAGAAACAAAATCCTACAAGTTATTTGCACAATACAATGCTACTGGTCTTAAGATTCTTTGGGCACTTTAGAAAACTTTGGTCTCTAGATGATTGTGTTTCATCTATATTACCAATTTAGGGCCATTACAATAACCACAGGCTTAATTTAAGTATACATTTACACAACTGCCTCCATAACACACTGGATATAATGTGATACATGAGTCTTCTTTATAGTGGAAAAATGGCAAACAACAAAACAAAGTTGAAAATACATACACAAAAATGGAAAAGTATTTGCCCCCTTCCTGATTTTTTATTTTTTTTGCCTATTTGTCACACTTTAATGATTCAGATTATGAAACAAATGTTATTACACGAAGATAACCCGAGTAAATACAAAATGCAGTTTTTAAATGATGATTTCATTTATTAAGTTAAAAAAATCAGTCCAAACCTGTCTGGCCCTATGTGAAAAAGTAATCCCCCCACCTGCTAAATCAAGAATGAACTGTGATTAAAGTGGTTGTAAAGTCATATTAATAAATTACTTGTATCCCCTCTGTTTTAGGAAGATATAAAGTACATTTTATTTTTTTTAATTTTAATGCTAAATACCTTCTTCCATAGCTCCGCTGTGCTGTCGTGTCCTCCCTCCACTCTCCTTCCCAATCTAAGCAGTACAGCGGGAAGGACTGAGATTCCCCTCTGACGTATACGAGCTAGCAGAGGAAGATCACATGACCACACAGAGGCGCTGTGCAAGAAGGTATTTAGCATTATCAATTTAACCTCTTCACGCCGGCCGAACGCAAATGTGCGGCCTCCCGGCATCTGGGCCTAGACGCCGAGCGGCCGCACATTTGCGTTCTATTAAAAAAAAGACATATGTGCTGAGAGCGCGTGTCCGGTACTCATGGAAAGGTCCCGATCTCCTCTTTCGATCGGGACCTTTCCCGATAATGTGACTGTTGTGCTCACAACACTGACTACGGAAACAACAGTCAGGAAGGGAGGGGGAGAGAGTGAGATACAGAGATTCTGAACACACAGCTGGATGATGGAGGGATGTAAACTAACCGCACTATCATGGATCAGCAGCCAGTCAGTACACAGGGGAACACAGGAACAAGCAGAATCAACCAAGTATTTTAAAACATTTATGTAAAACCCCCACGGCCAGTGGCCTGTCCCAGGAATGGTATACCTGCCAATGCCTAAACCCTTAATAGAAGGAGAGGTGCATCCAAAACTAATGCACTACTAAAGAAAAACCCCACAAAAGGATATAGCACCTCAAAGGCTAATAAGCAGTATAATTTTATTAAGGACGTAACAACTAAACAAAATATATCATATAATCAAACAATGCATGTACCCCATTCCTATTCATCTCCCAGCCCCCTACCCCCCCCCGACCAACCCCCCAACAATGTCCAAAAACAGTCCTCCCCCCCTCCCAGGGCAACCCCAGCAGCCCTATGGGCCCCCCCTCCTCCCTGAGCTAGGGCACCAAGGACTAACCATCCACCTCTCTCTACGATCCCTAAAGTCCCCCTATCCTGTGCAGGTGGATATGCTTCCCCGTAGAGTCCCTCTGTAGCTGTGCCTATAACGACAAATATCAGGACATAGAATACAGCTGACAGGAGAAGTCCCAATTTGCATGCATAAAATGAATGCACAAGGTGTAGTTCCACCACGAAAGGGGAGAGCAGCTGAAAGGGACAACCTTGGTTTCTCCAATGAAGTGTAACTCAGTTCATGACTGTAGTAGGTATGCCGCTATGCTCTATCTCCTCATAAACATCACCACAGCCTGTCTATTGGTCATCTGACAAGCATCTCCTAGATTGTAAGCTCCAAGGAGCTGGGCCCTCCTAACCCTCTTGTATTGAACTGTATTGTTGCTGTATTGTCTCCCGTTATATTGTAAAGCGCTGAGCAAACTGTTGGCGCTATATAAATCTTGAATAATAATAATAATAATAATAATACAGGTCCAGCCTATCAGTCAGGTAGCTGATTGACTCTGTATGGCTATGAACCGTTGCGTAGAATCCTGCACTCATACAGTGATAAGTATGAAATGATCTCACCATGTGGAACCAACCAAAGTCCGTGCATATACTCTCAGTAGCCGGATGATGCAGTGCCCTTCAGTATGTAACAATGTCCATGTTTGAATCCAAGTCGGCACACAGGGGATGGATAGGAACGGGTTACGTGCATTGTTTGAATATATGATATGTATTGTTTAACCGTTACATCCTTTAATAAATGTATACTGCTTATTAGCCTTTGAGGTGCTATATCCTAGTGGGGTTTTTTCTTTGGTATTTTAAAACATGTATTGGGACAAATGACACTACAAAAGCACTGTGCTATTTATCATGCTTTAAAGGACCAGGAAACTTTTTTTTTTAGGGTTACAACCACTTTAACCACATTTTTTTGAAAGGTAAATTTCACTTAAATAGAAGCTGTCTGACAAAGTTAAGCAGGCTATAAGATCTCAATAAGCAACACATCATGTTGAGATCTAAAGAAACTCCAAAACATATAAGAAACAAAGTAAAGGACACGTATCAGTCTGGAAAGGGTTACAAAGCCATTTCTAAGGCTTTCAAACTCCAGAGAACCACAGTGAGAGCCATTATCCACAAATAGAGAAAACTTGGAACAGTGGAGAACCTTCCCAGGAGTAGATGGCCTACCAAAATTACTTCATGAGCACAATGATGACTTATCCAGGAGGTCATAAAAGAACCCAGAACAACATCTAAAGAACTGCAGGCCTCACTTGCCTCAGTTAAGGTCAGTATTCATGATTTAACAGTAAGAAAGATAAAAAATGGCATCCATGGGAGAGTTCCAAGGCGAAAGCCATTGCTAACCAAAAAGAACACAAAGGCTGGTCTCACATTTGCCAAAAACATGTTGATTATCCCAAAGACTTTTAGGTAAATATTCTGTGGACTTATTAGACGGTGTGCGTCCCGTTACATCTGGTGTAAAATTAACATACCAAAAGTGAAACATGGTGGTGGTAATGTGATGACAACTTGCCATAATTGATAAAACCATGAATTCTGCGCTCTACCAGAAAATCCTGAAGGAGAATGTCCAACTATCAGTTTGTGACCTCAAGCTCAAGCGCACTTGGGTTATGCAGCAGGACAATGATCCGAAACACTCCAGAAAGTCCACCTCTGAATGGCTCAAAAAAATGTAAGGTTCTGGAGTGGCCTAGTTAAAGTCCGGACTTAAATCCAAATCCAATAGAGATGCTGTTTATTGTCGAAAACCCTCCAATGTTGCTAAATTAAAACAATTCTGCAAAGAAGAGTGGGCCAAACGTTTTCTACAGCGCTTGCTTGCAGTTGTTGCCTCAAGGGGTGGCACAACCAGTTATTAGGTTTAGGGGGCAATTACTTTTTCACACAGGGTCAGGCAGGTTTGTGATAGCTTCTTTTCCTTAATAAATAAAATCATAATTTAAAAACTGAATTTTGTATTTACCCGGGTTATCTTTGTGTAATATTAAAATGTGTTGGATGATCTTAATCATTTAAATGTGACAAATATACAAACAAAATGAAGAAGGGGATGAATACTCTTTCACAGCACTGTAGGTTTACCTTTATATCTGCAAAAGCTTTGAAATCAATAATAAAAGTTAATTTTAAATGTTGTTTTACACACTGCATATAGTGCCTAGTTAAGCATTTTTGAAGAAATGAGAAGAAGCAATAAAGCTGTCATAGGAACCAAAAAGTAGCAAAGTGACCTTACTGAATAGCACTGGTGTGTGGATCACAAGAATTGCTTGCCACAACCACATATCCTTTACCAGGTAAAACTACTTTTTTATAGGTATTTAGATGGTTGTTTGGCATTCTACTTAACTATCCTGACTTTTTATACCTAATATAACATAGTTTACAACTTCAAATATTTTATACGGTATAAGAAATAGTCAGGTAAATCATGACATATATCCACTTTGCTGATATAATGGCTGAAATCAAGAATTATGCAAGAGCTATGTCTTTAAAGGGTAACTCCACTTCCATGGAAAAAATGCAGCAAATAAAAAAATAACAATATAGCATAAATAATTTCTACAGAAGTCATACTGTAATTTATTGTTCTTACAAATGACCTTTCTGTTTCAATCTTCAGCTGCTGTAATTTTCTGCAAAAGTCAATGCAACATGGCAACCAGGAGGCATTCTGTACACAGTTGGCGTACAGACCTTCCCCGGAAATGTCATTTTCTGCTTGTGTGAAGAACTCTGAACTAAGATACAATTCACGTTTTAGACATCCTCTGCACTAGAAAATGTAATTTTTGGTGAGATACTCTCTAAGGGTCTATTACTTCTAAAGGGATGCTGACACTGCAACTTTTCTTATTAGAGATCTGACAGTGCATCAGTCTAGATACGATCTAAC